ATACACTTACATGATTCAGTGTGGGAAAAAGTTGGAAATCCATTTCAACAGAATCTAAGTTACCAGATTCTTCTTTGGCCTTCAGATATGCTTCATGTTCTTTTATACCTGCAACCTTGTACAGAATGAAAATGATACATATAAAAGATATAGAGCATATTGCATAGGTGCGCAGAGATACAGATTTTATCTTCCTGTGTTAAAAAGATCTCCCATAAATGAGCATAGTGTACGAGTGAGAGATTTTCAACACTAGAAGATAAAATTTGTATCTCCAAGCAATATTCTGTTATTATATAATTATCTATGAAAAGCAACTTATGCTGTAARATAAATGTTATTTACCTAGTCCAATATAATATAGAGATATCATGATTGAGATATTTTCACTATTTTTCACATGTCTGTAGTCTCTCAGACCAATGATTAGCACAGCACCAATTACACGAGGAACGCCAAATAACAGCAATGAAAGAAAAGATAGTACTATATGGACAAGAACAAACAACCTGCTGACCATACCCAGATAACACTGCTTGTGATGTTCAAAATATGATAATTTTTATAATTATAATACATAATCCGTTATGTTCTGATACCTTGGCATTTTGCATTTGTTCTATGGTAAGATCTTTCAGTGGGACCTCTAGAATCAGCGGACTGGGTAAATCCTTCAAAATCAAAATAACATGAATTACAAAATGGCTGCATGTGTCACTGAGTCTGTTTTTTGTTATAAGCATAGTACACGACTGGGAGAACAAATCTCTAAGCATGAAAACAGCATGAACCCTCTTGTGCTTGCACAATATACCACTTGTCCATTAGATCTAACTTCAGTACTATTTTCAGACTAACCTTTAAACAAAGCTTGACAGTTGTGTCATGAAATACTACTGGAATTCGTTCTTTAGAAACTTGGACATCCATTTCAACATAATCTATTCCCTTTCAAACAGTTAAAAAGAACTTTTTATTCGCATGAAAATTACACAGCGAAAATAAAAACAGACGAGCCAATGGAAATGGCAAACCTCATAATTCATTAGCTAAAAATGACTGCATGTGACTCAGGGCAAAAATACAGGCCAATGAAATGTAATAAAAATGTAGATAAGAAGTGTACTGATAGAGTTGCAACGTGGGCTTCCTGTGGAAGACCACGTCTTAAATGCGACTGGACTTTTCTTCTTCGTCGTGAATGTTTGGCTTCAAATTGGTAGTGCCTGCGTTGCAGATGGTCTGGAGTCTTAGTTTCCATGGGGATGTCAAAGTAAATCAATCATCGCTTTCTTTTCATTCATGACATGTATTGTTTCGTACGTCATTCGACCTCGTAGTCTTATCGCGATGTATCTAGCTTCACATTATAGCTACTATGACCTGGTTTGTGACCAAGAAAAGCAATGTGATAAGAAAATGAAGGAAATCAACCCAAGAACGCTGATCTCAAAGTTCTTACTACTTCTTGAATTATTCCAACGATCAAAATATTACTCAAAGTTATAATACTTAGAAAACTGCAAAGACTGTACCGTTTCTATTGTTTATTATTATCTCTGGAGCTACTACGAAACTATGATATAACATAACCTTTCCGGTCAAATTTGCATATTTCGATTATTTGCATATTTTGAATAATCTAGACGCTCTTAGAGCGTAAAGTCGGGCTAGCTATATTGGAAAACTGAGAAAGACAAGGTACTTAAGGACGTTAATTAGAGTTTAGTTCGGTAAAAAATTATGCAGTTGTAATAAATAACTTAGGGTTGTCCTGACTTATTTCAAACAAAAACTGTATTGTGAAAATGAATACTTATAGCTCAGTGGCGGCCGGCAGCTGACCTACTGTCGCAGCTACAGTATCAACTCAACTTTAGACACAGACAAACTTTAAAAGTTGTATAGCATTTTTAATTTTGTTATTACATGGAATAATATTGAGAACTTTTTCACTGAATAAAGATTGCTATTGCTGGTAAAAAAATATGTGAGATTGCATTAATTTTTTTTTACTATTGTGGTTACAAGCCATGCTGTCAGGAGTGATCTTGTGTAATATGCCAAGGGAAGCAATTCGACTTTTGTTGGCCGGAACAAACCGCGTAAAGCGCTCAAAAATCTGAAATATTCTTTCGAAAAAAACAAACTTACAAATGCCTAAAAAGTTGTGCCTTGGTCTTGCCACGTAAAAGAGTTTGTATTCATTGTTTAAAACAAATTAAATTGCTGTTTACAACTAAACTTCGAAAAGGAGTCGAGTCAGAAAAGCTACAGTAATATCCAAATTCGATACCGCTGACACAAAAGATCTCCTTGACCTTCCCAGAAGGCCTTCGTCACAAAAACAAATATTCTAGCTGTCCTCATGGTTGCCGCTGTTCAACTGGTTGCTATGTTGACATTAGCATGCTTTTTTGATAGGAAAATATTTGACTTACTGGCACATGAAGCGCAAGGGATAACTTTGAATGTGCAAAACTATAGTGACTATGCAGCTATTTCAAACAACACTGAGTGCTGTTACATACTGCATTACTGATTGTCTGGTTCTACAAGGGTACATACTGCATTACTGATTGTCATATCACCTACAGTTTCTCTGTTTCAGAGTGACTGCAATTCAGTTTGTGCACTCATGGAAAGCAATTTAGTTAGAATTTTGCATACACCAGATGATATTTACCAGACGACTAGCAGCCTTGAAGGCACTGATTGTGTTTTCAGGATATGAAGAAGACCTAGAAGACAATATTCCATTGATGTTAAAATCTCATCCACACAAGTTAACATAGGGTTCTCAAGCACATTTACAATTCAATAGAAGTCCTTGGGTTATAAAATACATTATAATGGCAAACATGATATGACATATATATAGTGTGTTTTAAAGGGTTGCACGGAGATAAGTGCACATGTGATATGTTGAACATATTTTATCAACAATTTTRATATCTTCAAGTCAAGAAATATGATAATTTGTATCCATGATATTGATGAATTAACTGGATTGTATTCAATAATGGCTATAGTTTAAGAGTCCTCAGTTGAAAGTGAATGATATTCTACAGTA